ATTTCTCTCCTGATTCAGACCAGACAACTTTTTCACTGGAGAAAGCATTAATATGGATTATGGACTCAAATTTTAGCCAGAAACAACAACTTTGAAATTAAATCACGGATTTGTTTCTTACAAACACACAGCTTTTGTCTTCTCAAGATGTTAATTCATGGACTGCAGTGGTGTGGATTGCTTGTGGATTATTGTGACGTTTTTATCAGCTGTTTGGACTCATTTTGACGGCACCCATTCACTGCAGAGCATCCATTGCTGAGCAAGTGATGCAATGCTGAATTTCTCTAAATCTGATGAAGAAACAAACTCATCCTAATCTTGGATGGCCTGAGAGTGAGACATTTTTAGCAAATTTCCATTTTTGGATGAACTATTCCTTTAATCTTGATCAATCTTCAATCTTAATCTTGAATCTTAATCAAATCCACCAATTACAGAAGTCATAGTAACCATAGAAACATGAATCACAGCAGAAAAACGCTGTGCAATGATCGCACACTCCAATGAAGCAATGCAAATTATGTAATGGATTCAGTCTCCTTACACTCTCAAACAACTTATATCTTTGAATGCTTTTAATTTTTGTGCTTACAATCTATAAGTTATAGTTTCATATTGTACTGTCATTTCTGATTACATAATATGCAGATGAGCAGTTCATTACCTCTAAAAACAATATTTAACCTTTATCTTTAAAATAGATTTTGCTTTGAATCAATTTTGTGGCTTATCTCAAAGCTGGCTGGTTTGAGAAAATGTAAACATTTAAAAAGCCACTGTTAGCACTCTATTGCTCAGAAACTCAAAGGACACAAGAAAATAAGAAACCATCCAGAATCCAGATGAAATTAGGAGTCAAACGCAAGGCAGAAGCCAAAATAGAAGCTGGTTCATCATTATCAGAGATGTGACTTTAAGAAAACTGTGTCAATTCTTCTCAGAAGAAGGCTGAAAGTTAAACAAATGCTGCAGATAAATCCAAACCGAATTCCAGCTCAGGCACCGTGGGAGGGAAGGAGTGCGGTTCTGATAGGAAGATGCCCGGGTCGTGTCTGGAGGACAAAACTTACACAAAGAAACTGAGATCAGATGTTGAAAATGATCTTAGTCCTGCCAACACACTCGGCTCAGGACAGAGTCAAGGATGGCCAGAGATTCCAGCTGCATCGCATCCTCACAGCTGTCAGAACAGAGTCATCAACAACACTCTGCTAAACGATTATAACGAGAGATTGTCTAATTAATCACTCCATATGAGCAGCATCAACAGCAGAACAGTAAAGAACTACACTGACAAAAAAAAACTGGTGTACGACTGACTTTGAAACAACTTTCATTTAAAAATTGCTAGTAAATTTCACAATCTAGAAAATGTAAAAAGAAAAGTATTTTTGGCAGTGCAGAGAATTTGTCTAATAGAACAAAATTAGGCACTCTTAGAAAAAAATACATCAAAATAATAAGTATATATTCAATAAAAAGTATAAATATATAATCAATATAACAATTTTAAAAATGCAATAAAAAATAACAATGTTATAAAATTAAATAAAATTGATTTTATTAGATTATCAGTTCATGCTAACATATTTCATTTTTTTATACTATTGACTATTTATAGAAACATTTTTCTACATTCATAAACATGTGAATTGGTAATTTCACCTATATAATCAAAAGAAAATAAAGTGAGTAGTTTGCGTTTATGTTATAAGTGAAAATATTTAAAGGGGTCATTGGATGCCCATTTTCCACAAGTTGATATGATTCTTTAGGGTCTCAATGAAAAGTCTGTAACATAGTTTAGTTAAAATTTCTCAGTGGTAGTGTAAAACAACACCGTTTTTACCCTGTCAAAAACAGCTCTGTCTACAGCACGCTGTTTTATTGCATTCCGCTTTAAATGCAAATGACCTCTGCTCGCCCCGCCCCTCTCTTCCGAGCCGCTCTCTGAGAGATGGTAAACTTTAGCCGCATTCATCGTGAAACTCGCTAACTAGCACGCTATTAAGAAAGGCGATTTGCAAAGATTCATTATAAAACCTTACACTCACTTCTTCTGGAGGTGAAACTGGATCACGAATGATTCGTGCGAAGACAGACGCATTTATGTAGATCGGGATCGGCGCATTCCCTTCACAAACAAATGTAATCCACTGCGTCTTCAGCGGCTCAGATGTCGGGAGTAAATGACGACTGCTATGTTCATTATTACATCCAA